TGTCAAAATATTTATCAAAAACTATATTCCTTTTTCTATGACTTTAACATATATTAAGATGTAAAATAGTTAATAATTTAGATTTTGGGAGAAGGGGTCGGATTAAATAAGTGTAAACTTCTTCCGACCCCTTTTCAGACATGAAATTAGCTCAAGCGTTGTTTATTGATATCAGACAATGATACTACAGATTATTCAATTAGTAATTAAATGTTTCATTTAGTTATTGCATTCATTTGTATCATGTCTGTACCATGTCTGTATCACCTTTTGTTTCATTTGTATTTTCTTTAGTTTTACACGCTCAATTTTTTTATATAAAACTAAACTAAACTTTGGGACAGGCCAGTTTTGCAAAGAAAGGTCATTTGAGTCCCCATAAGTACAACGTTAACAATCCTGGAGAACAGTTAGATAGTCCAAATCTGACTTCCAACCTATAACTGCATGTGTCCTCTCTCCTTCCCTGTTCTATCAATTAAACACAAATAGCTTCCTAAAAAACGGACACATCAAAACTGAAAACCTTTAAATGTCCAATGCAAAAGGGTTTTGTTGAGTCATTTTATGGAAAATTGCACACACACACACACACGCACACACACACACACACACACACACACACACACACACACACACACACACACACACACACACACACACACACACCCTCCAAGCTCGCCTCGCCTCAACAACTAAGTGTCTCAAGTGGAAAGCCTTCGTCCTGACGCTCCCTCTGAGCCCCCAGTATGCACTATTTCCATTTCACACACACACACACACACACACACACACACACACACACACACACACACACACACACACACACACACACACACACACACACACACACACACACACACACATCATGACAGTGATGTCTGCCTACAGCTCAGAACATGATGACATGGCCAGCAGCAGCTATCCTGTATGCAGTGGGGGAAATCCCTATGAAGTCAATGTTACACACACACTTCACTGCAGAGATGAGCAGGGAACAGCATGCCCCGACGATGCTTCCACATTTATTAACCCTCACACTGCTGAGTGCCTCGTGGAGAGGGAAGAGAGGGAACATGGGAGAAAGAAAGATAGAGTGTCTGCAAGTGTGTGAGCCTGTGTGTGTGTGTGAATATAAGTGAAGCAGGCTGAGCTCAGGGCCCTCGCATTCTGTTTATATACCAGCAGGATGGAGAATCCATGTACCCTGTCAGCTTGGGACAGTGCACAACACACCCACACACACACACACACACACACACACACACACACACACACACACACACACACACAGACACACCACACACACACACACCACACACACACACACACCACACACACACACACACAGCCACACACACACACACACACACCACATTCTTGCAACTGCATATGAAAAGTGTGGGCTGCCTGAAGAAGAGCGCTGGAGGCAGCAGAGGTGTCAAAGCCTTTCCTCTCTTCCTCTAGGCATCAGAGATAGGAAAGAATGAAAATGAATGAAGAAGACATTTGTTTTGTCCTATGTGAAAACACTGGGGAAAAGCACAGATGGCCAAAATGTCCTAACAACTTAAAACTAGCTTCAGCTGGACGCCACATACAATGCTGCTTTTCAATGTCACAATGTGTATTTGCAGTGTCCTTTATAAATAATCCAAAAAAAAATCAATATTACTTTGTCCTCGCACAGACAGTTCAGTTTGAGGCAGCAAGTGATGTCTTCAAGCTCTGATTCTTTTAGAGCAGGGGTGTCAAACTCAAATACACAGTGGGCCAAAATAAAAAAATCGGTACTAGACGAGGGCCGGACTGGTTCAATGTTTATTGCAAAACGTATTGAAATGAACTTATTGCACATATTAAACCTGGAACTAACAAAGCTTAAATTTGGGCTCAGGCTCTGAGCTGAGGAAACCCTCAGGATTGAGTGAAGGTGTGCGTGCAATATACCGGCGGGCCAGATCTAATAGTAATTACAAATGATCCTGCGGGCCAAAATTAAATCCACCAAGGGCCTGATTTGGCCCCCGGGCCTTGAGTTTGACACGTGTGTTTTAGAGGAACTACTGCAACCTAAATACACACTCTCACATGCAACCATGTATTGTGAACACACGTTGTTTTCAGGAGGCTGTGTACATAATATGAATTGAATAAGTTGAAAAATGATTTTTTTTTTGCTTTACCTTCTTCTTGCAAGTTGTTTTCTTCTTCCACTCTTATTGACCTGCAACTGACAGACTCCAATTAAAGATGTTCTTCTTCACAGCCACTCGGTAGGATTAAGCTGTCTTGTCAACCGTCTGGGGACAGGTGAAAGACGGGACAGCCAGTCACAAACAAGTGACTGGAGTGTAAATGAAGAGGATGACATTCATACTCAAATGTAACCACTGGACTCCTCTTGAGCAGCTATAATGACATTCCAAGAACAAATGATCTGTTTGTACAAATGTTAAAGTGACTTACAAAGCAGTCAGGAAGTGAATGTGAGATAAAAAAAAAAAGCCACTGCCGCTTCCTTTATGCGTTCGATCTTAATGTGAATTTACAATATCAATATGGCTCACCTGCCATCAAAAAGGGCAACTTGTGGCCTCGTAAAACCCTGGTTATGAAATGTGACTGTTAAGTAACTGGGCCGACAGTTTTAGGCAGAAATCCCCCATCCCTTCCACCTCACTGCTCTGCAGCGGAAGCGGGTTAAAGGAGTGGGTGGTGATCAACGCAGAGGCAAAGAGGAAGAGCAGGAGAGTGGAAGAGAAGATGCAAAGTAAAAAGACAGTAGAGAACGGAAAGAGGGAGTAAACAGAGGAGGGTGAACTAAGAGAAGCACAGTCACTGAAGGACAAAAGTTGCAGAGGACATGGACAAATATAAAAAAAGGCAGGTGATAGACTTCAGGTCAGGGGACTAAGATGCGTATTACAGAAAAAAGGGAGGGGGTAACGCAGTGAGTTAGTGGATGGGGTAGAAAACAAAAAAACAGTACAAGCAAACATTGGACAGCACAAGAGACAAGGACGGAGGCAAAGTGCGTCACCAGGCCTCTGCCAGGAGGTTTTTCATTGAATTAAAGATGAACTCCAAACATGAATACATCCTCTCTGCCCTTAAAAGGGAAGCCGTTATTGGAGGTTTTAGATGGAATAACATGTGTGGTTTTCTACAGTGTTTTTGTCTACAATCAACACTTTAACTCAGAAAGGATGAAACTGTTCTTTAAGATGTGTTGGGAGCATATTTTGAACTGGTTATACTTACATGGCATGTTTCCTCTAATCTATTGGTCGGATCAACACACTGCAAACCTCCAACATGCAGTTTCATGTTAGACGCAAATGTGAGGTTTTTAAGGTTGAGAGGCTAAGAGGGAAAGAGGGACACAGCATGGTGAATTGTAACGATTACAGTCAGTATTCAATGAGCATCATCTTGGACAATGATGATCGAATGGCCTGCTTCAACACAAACAGTGAAGCGTTAATTAGAAGTCCTTCCAAAACCACAAAACCTTTATGATTTCACGATGTCCCATAAAGTTGAAGAATATTAAAACTGTCCTCAGGGGTTTGTGCCCTCTTCGTCCCATTCTTTGTGAACAGGCTGTGTGAACTTTCTCCGGTGAAAAACAAAGACATGTTTTGTTCTCTGCACCTCAAGCAGCTCCATGAAGAGGATCGCTAAAACCATTTGAGCGGCAAACCATAGGTGACGTTTGCCTCTGAACCTTCAAACATGGATACTGTGTTAGCATGTACAGTAACAGACGGCGCTAGACAACAGGCGTGTGCTGCTAGGGAAACAGATGAGTGCAGAGGGGGAAACAGACGTGTGCTGTAAGGGGTGTACACTATGCAGACATGTATTTAAACTGCATGGTACGTTTAAAGTTCACTGATTAATTATTGGTTCAGTTGATTACTTTGGTCTTTATCTGATTGGATTGTTAGTTCTTATAACTTAAGTTCTCTCAGTTTTAGATTTATATTCAAACCTCAGTTCCAGCACTCATTACGTCTTTGTTATCTTAATATAACTGCAGCTTTATGTGGTATTTTTAGTTTGAAGGATGCCACTACATTGTTTTGGACTGCTGTAGAATATGTGTTGTTTATTTCATGAATTCATTTATAGGATAATTACTTTTTCAGTGTTATTTCATCAATCCTCCATGCTCTATTGCTTCAGTCATTGTAGCACCTACTTGTCCTTGTTTTAGAGGAGATAGTTGTTTGTTTGGCCTTTTTGTCAGCAGCATTTCAGGTAGGTGGATAGAGGAAGAACCCATTACATTTCGGAGCTGAACTGAATGACCAGGGGAATACATCCATTATCTTTCTCTTAGGGAAACAGCCTTGGCCGGTGACCTTCGATTGAGTGTGACAGAACAATAACAGGTGTATCAGCAGCAGAGTCAAGAGTCTGAGGGGAACCCATGAGAGCGAAGTTGCGTTTGTTTACTGTCTTACCATGTTGGCAGTGATTCAAGGAAATCCCACTTTTGATACACAGCCCAGAGTGACTGAAAAATGCTACACAAATTAAGAATTTAGAGTTACAGGAAGTTAGCGTTTTGAGTAACAGTCACTCAAGAGTTGCTGACGATTCTATTATGTGCATGATTTGTTAAATATTATAAAAATATGTAGTGAAATGTCTTGGTTGCATTTGTCTACCCATGAACCAAAGAGTAGGTTACGGTAGAAATAATATAATACAAGGGCGGACCACAACCTGGGCATGTGGAGAGGGACGGATGGTGGTCTAGACTAGAGAAGAACAGTAACGCCGCCTAGTGGCAGCTTGTAGTCATTGCACCTCCAGACCAAAATCTGAAAAGATGGAGCCACCCAAAGCAGCACTCGGCAGTCAGTGTCATTTTTAATAATACCACCACTTCAAACCTAACACAGAGCACAAACAAACCTTATTATCACTAGCTCTTAATGTGCGGTTTAAAATAAAAGGAACAATATATATACAAAAAGCTAAGTTTAAAAAGTTCATATCAAGCCTTTTATTTGGTATACAGATATTCATAGATTTATACAGTATATATAGATATATGTATATATGTAACACATGTGCCACCGCAAAGTCACAGACAAACTTATTTCTACTAAGAAAAGAAAAAATATATAATGTGCTTAATTTCAAAAGGAGTGCCGTGAAGCGCTTTAATGAAAGATGATCAAAACCGGAATGATGAGGTAACTGCCAGGCAGGAAAACAATCACTTATAATGGTAGAGTAATAATAATAACAATCTACTGAAACAAATGGATCAAAGAGGCAACCGAGAAAATATAGTGGCAGCATGGACCCTTAGTGTCAAACTAGAGAAAAAATATTTAAGTCTATAACATACATACACACAGAGTATGCATACAGACAACAGGCATTAACATACAAACAGGAAGTAGAGTCAGTCACTGAGAGCAAAAACTCTCCCATGTCGTTACTCAATACACAACAGCAACTCAGGCATGCTCCAAGACAGCTAAAAATCTCTCTCTCTCTCTAACAAACATACACACACATACTAAACACACACTCTCTCTCACTCAGACACACAGTTATGTACCACAGCCCGGCATTACAGGGCTGACCGAACAACGCTTGCACAGTCGTGGTGCATGCACGTGTACACACACACACCACAGCAGTATAGTAGTCAGGCGTGGTGAAAAGAACGGGCCTGAATTAATGTGAACAGACAGTAAAATGAAGAGGGACTCTGATGAAAGTCAGATAAAATGTCAGGGAGAAGGGATGAAGATTGAAAGGTTATCAAACGAACAGATCGTGCTCCACAGAAACACAAGGAAGTGGTGTGTGTGAGTGTGTGTAAGCACGTACATGTGTATCAATACATCAGGAGCAGGTAGTGCTGAACGTGTTTAACAGACAATAAGAGCATGTGGCTCCCTCGTGTGGTCACTCCGAGTCTCTCTGGACCTCCGAGGCGTCCGCCCGACAAATAGGACACGTCCTGTTGGCCTGAGGACGGGAGAGGAAACAGAAAGATCTGGTTAGGGTTTCAAAGGCAGTCACATCTTCAGGCAGCCTATCAATCACACAGAACTGACAATTCTGAAGCTGCATATTTGGACAGTAATTCATATCTTTGTTAGATTTGTTTCAATCTGTAAACACTATAACTCGATTTAGACTAAGGCTTTGGGCGATGCTGCCATGCCTCTAAATCATAAGACTGTATTGTGGTTAATGCAAGAACTTGGTGTTCGAGAGCCTTTTTTTTTGCATTTTCTGTGGGAAATAAAATGTTGGAGTATGTGTACAGCTCCTCAGATGTTCCAGTCTTTGGGTTTGCTGTGGTGCACTGACTGTTCTGTGCTGGATGTACATGTAGACACAAGCCTCCTGCTTCTTTCTGTTATCAAACAGATGTCTTGAGGCGGGAGATTCTCACTACACTTCTATAATTAAGAGGTGCCAGAGTGGGTCTATAAAAGCAGCATCAGCAGAGCGCTTACAGCTAGGGGTGTCACGGTAACGGATACTTCTGTACAAAGTCGATGCCAAAATTCTGGATTTTTGATAGCACCAAAAGTACGGAGACTAATGGCAAGTGTACTTACCCTCAGCCACTTGTCGACACACTTCCCGTGGAATTCGTGGCTGCAGGGCAGGACTCGTAGCAGTTGGCGGGACTCGAAATCACTCATGCACACCACACACCTGCAACACAACAGGTATCAGCATGTGAACAACACAAGAGAGATGCTGTTCAAGACCCTCAACGCTGTAATTACTGATACACTCCATGTGTTTTCTCACACATCTACTCTCACGCACAATTAGGGAAACCTGGAATTGCTTTTGGATGTTCACCAATATGTTTACCAAACCTTTGAATGCATTTCTTACAATGGCTAACCCAAACAAACGGAATGTATATATTTGTTGTATATGCCTTAATTTGACAATCTTTTAAAAACCTAGTTGCGCTTTTATAACTAGCCATTTAGAATTTTGCAATTATGTTTTCACTGGATTATCGATAATGAATGACAGCTAGTTGAAAACGCTGCAGCCAGCGTCTTGACCAAAACATGGAAACTGTATCATGACCTCTCTGTTGAAGACACTGCAAATACTGCATCTTTTAAAATTGACTTGTTTATAAAGCTTTTAATGACCTGACTCCGTAACGTTTCGGCCCGATCACTAAAGGCCTTTCCTGATGTTCCTTATGTGTCCCATAAAAGTATCCGTGAGAGAGCTTTCTGTTTTATTGTTCGTATACTGTGGAGCCCACTTCCTCCAGATATCAGAATGGTGAGCTCTTTTGGTATTTCTAAAAATTAATCCGTCTCTTTCTTTGCTATGGCTTTTAATGTAATACTTTGTTTAATACATTTAATTGCTGTTTTTACATGTTTGTATCCCCGGCTATTAGATTTATTAATTGATTATTGTAACATTAACACTAGCAAAATATTATGTATTGTTGTTTTCTTTTAAAAAAGGTGCTTTATAAGGAAACCATTTTAAGTTGAGTTAAAGAAGTTTTAGGCTTTCTGTTGCTGGAAAAGCAAAAATATGTCTCTGCAAACAACTTCACACACTGATTAACATTAGCATCTGTCAGGTTCCTGAGGTTCCTAATTCACCGTACCAACCAGTGATGAGCTGGTGTCTGCAGAATGACGGCACTCACAGTGTTTGTTCTGACTGATGGTTGTTTGGATTGAACCGATAGGAAGGAAGCTGTTCGATGTCTCCCTTAGTCAGTCCTCGGAGTTTAGCCTCTCCCAGACGCTCAGCGAGGTTCAGGAGGGCCTGTGAGGGGAAATAAAACCATCAGTAACAATATGAGAATCAGAGTCTGTATCCGGCAAACACACAGACAAGAGAATAAAGAAAGAAAATAAAGACGCACCTCGTAATTTTCCACTTCTCCATCGTCAACATCCAGCTCTAGACTGATTGCAGGACCTGTGGGCTGGACTGGCAGCATTGAACTGCAGAGGGGAAGATTTACGTTCAATTTATCTAAGAAGCAACTACATTGTGCGATCGTAGCTAACTTTCTTTTACCACAGGCATATTCAAGTTAAATAGCTAACAAGCCGCCCTGTTGTAGTCAAACCTTTCATGCAATATATCTCTTGCTCTAACCTTTTACGTTTTCTTTCGAGGTTAAACTTATGTCTAAATAAGTAAGACCTCTCAAAAATCCCTCATCTTGAAGAATATGTCCAATATCCTTTTCAATGTACTCTTATTCTGTAGTTTAAATTAAATAAATGGTTCTCTTCTTAATACCAGGAAATATATCATTCTTAGTGATTTAAAATGGCCGTCTCTTGCATTCTCCAGGTATAACTCATCCAAAGGGCAGGTATCATATAGGTCAAATGTATCCTGATGATTACAAAGGAGGTGTGGGGTTGGTTGGGGGGGGATTCTTATTTCTACTATGTTTGCAGTAATATTAGAGACCCATATTGAAAATAATAAATATCAGGTCATCTACTGTGTGATTAATAAAAAGTTGAAACTTTTCTTATCTTAGTAGGTTAATGGCCTGATCTACTTACAGGAAGTAAGGCAGGAGGCTGGGGTGGTAAGGCGAAGGTGGCAGTGGCTGTTGCGAACGGTACCGTCGCCCCGGGAGACGCCGAGGAATAAAGTTTGGATAGGACTAGAGGAAATGGACAAAGAACATACGGGAACAAATCAGTCACATATAACTTCCTCTAAAGGAAAACTCATTTGTTGAAATATTCGTATTGCTCACCACTCCGAAGAACTCCTGTGGCAGGGGGTCATGGGAGAGGAAGTGAAGCTGGGTGGAGTGTGGCGTGAGGGCGGGGTGGGTGGCAGGGGGGTAGTGGAGGCCCGCACCCAGAGACAGATGTTCTCCGAGCAGCTCCACGTCATTCTCTATCCTCTGTAACGGCTGCGAGGGTGGAGAAGAACAGGAGAACAGACACATGTTACTATTGTAAATAATCACAGCAACAGAAGCAATAAGGAACATTTCAAACACTAGAACAGAGAAACGTGAAGTAGAAGGCGAGGTGGAGGAAGAGAAGAGATCCAATCCTGTTCATGAGTGCTTAGGATACAGGCTAGAGAAATATTATCAAACTGTACAAATATTTTATATAATAAACAATCATTGGAATTGATTAATCAAACTTTTGTACTTCATTATCTACTTCACTTCTGGCATTTATTTAATTTAATTTTTCAACGTCCTTTTTTAATTAGCAGTAAATATTCATCAATATCAAAACCACACAGAATTACCACTCTGTACTTTTTAGAGATTCAAAGAATAAAAAAAAGTATATATATTCAATTGATCAGATGACAATCAAATCTTGTCGATCAGACTTTAATTAAAGTCCACAAAAGCTGCATCAGATAGCCAATCACATTTTAAAAAACAAGCATGAAATAATTGCTACTCACAGATCGGGCCTGCTGTGTCGGATACGGTCCAAATTGTCCCGGCTGGGGCAGGTGAGGAGGGTGGTGGGAAAGGTGTGCTTGGGGGTGGGTGAGGTGAGGAGGGGGGAGCAGGAAGGCCGGGTCACTGGACAGCAGTGAAGGGAACGGGTAGGGCATGGGTATGTGCTGCACAGAACAAGTCTGAAGGACCTGGCAGGGAAAAAGAAACATTTAATTTAGGATGCTGCAAACTGTATTTTCAAAACTCATCAGTAACAGAAAAGTCAAACACACTCACAGGAGGAGGGACGCTGCAGACGGGATAGTGCTGTCCACTGAAGACCACCGAGCATGCTGGGATCTGCTGAGGGGCGGAGCGAGGCGGCAGGCCCGGTGGTCCCGGAGGAGACACAGGATACGATACAGGAACTGAACCCTAAACATGAACAACAGAGGGTAAGAGGCAAGTCTACAAAGTGTGTGATTTTAAGGTGAGCAGCTGGGGACAGAAGGTGATGGTCCACATTGTCGCAAAATAAAGCAAAATAACAGAGCAATGACTTTCTGTGTTGTATCTGGTGTGAATATGAATGGTTGTGAACTTGGTTGAGTTATTATCCAAGCTTCAATAGCATTGTTGGGGTTCCCCAAGGCTCGATTCTGGGCCCCATCCTTTTTCTACTGTACATACTGCCCCTAGGTTCAATTCTCACAAAACACAACATCCCCTTCCACTGCTACGCCGATGATGTACAGATCTATCTGCCACTCAATTCAAATGACAACTCATTACAGCTATTGATGAACTGCTTAGCAGAGATCAAATCCTGGCTGAGACAAAATGTCCTCAACCTCAATGAGAGCAAGACTGAGGTTATCTTTTTTGGACCCCAACCTCCAGCCTTCCAGGTTGATATTCTGGGCTCCTTCAAAAATAATATCCTCCCCTCTGTCACGAACCTTGGAGTGATCTTCAATAGCGCTTTTAAATTCGATAAGCAGGTCAGCAGCGTAGTTAAAACCTGCTTTTTTAAAATACGACTATTGGCCAAGACCAAGTCGTTTTTATCTTTTAAAGACCTGGAAAGGGTTATTAACGCCTTTGTTACCTCGAGATTGGACTACTGCAACACTCTGTACGTGGGTATGGACCAGGTATCAATTAAACGCCTGCAGCTAGTGCAGAACGCAGCTGCACGTCTACTCACTGGCCACTGGCAGACACCCTATTCGTTTTTAAGAGTGCGCTTAAGACCTTCCTTTTTGATAAAGCTTATAGTTAGGGCTGATTAGATTCAGCCCCTAGTTTTGCTGATATAGGCTTAGTTTGTCGGGGGACATCTTACTTCTTCCTTCTCTCTGTCTATACCTGTGTACTCTCATGTTCCGATTAACCCAGCTTCCCCAAATGTCTTTCTTTTTGGTGTCTATATACGCCGGGATCCGGAGTCATGGATGATCCTGCGCTCCTCTGTCCTGGATCGCGAGCCCTGGATCTTGAGTCGTGGCTGTGGTCCTGGATCATAGGTCCTGGATGGATATCCTCGTGGATTCATCTTCCTATTATACACACATGCATTTCCAAAGATTTGGACTACCTATGTTGCAAATGTATTATTTTTTCAATTTACACACGGCATCTATTGCACGTCTGTCCGTCCTGGGAGAGGGATCCCTCCTCTGTTGCTCTCCCTGAGGTTTCTCCCATTTTTCCCTTTAAACTGTGGGTTTTCTCCGGAAGTTTTTCCTTGTACGATGTGAGGGTCTAAGGACAGAGGGTCTGAGGACAGAGGGTCTGAGGACAGAGGGTCTAAGGACAGAGGGTCTGAGGACAGAGGGTGTCGTATTGTCATACTGATATTCAGTACACACTGTGAAGACCACTGAGACAAATGTAACATTTGTGATATTGGGCTATATAAATAAACATTGATTGATTGAAAAAGCGTGACCACATCACCCCAATTCTGGCTTCCAATTCGGTTCAGAATTGATTTTGAACTCCTTTTATTTGTTTTTAAAGCACTAAATGGGCTGGCTCCGGCCTATACAGCTGAACTCCTCCAGCGCTACACCCCAGCCAGAGCTTTGAGGTCTGCTGACCAGCTCCATGTGAGGTCGGCCCAGACCCTAGGGTTTTTTTTAATCTACTCTTAAAACACACTTCAGAGTGGAGCACGACTCCTGACTTTTCCCTGTGTTTTCTATATATCTGTTGTAATTTATTGTCTTTTATTATGAATGTAGTAATGTGTTTTTAAGTGATTGTAGTATTTATTACATGTACAGCACTTTGGCCCGACCAAAAATCGCTTTTAAAATATGGTTATAAATAAACTTAAATTTTTGATTTGTTGAAGTCTCCGTTTGAATTTTAAACATTTTTCATTTACAATTGATTGATTTCCTTGTGAAAAGACAGGAAATTAAATAACTACTTTCAGGATCAAACTGACCACAGTAAAAAAGAAAAAGTAATTCTCTATGCATTCTGACAACTACAAATTGTAATACACCCATTAGCAACTGGTTTTAATTTTTAAATTGCATTGCTTTAAAAAAAAGTGTCACACTGCCAGTCATATGTTATTTAGACAAGTCTATTGGAATCATTTCAGTCTGTTCTCGGGTTTTTTCTGTTTCACCCCAACAACAAGGCCACATAACCCCATAAAGTCACCTGCTCATGGAGGTCCAGCACCATACTGCTCTGCTGGGATGGGTGTGGGTGGGGGTGTGGGTGGGGGTGTGGGTGCTGTGGATGGGCTGCAGGGTGCAGCATCCTGGGAGACAGGTTGGGAGACTGGTGGAGGGGCCTGGGGGACGGATTTGGGGGATGGTGACCTGGGCGCTCGTCCAGCCCGGGCCCCAGCCCTCGGGGAGGTTGCTGGCTGTAGGGGGGGTAGCCCTGGGGGGCCTGGTGACGGTAGTTCTCATCCTGGTGGCCTGGCGACAAGCCGTGGTGGGAGTGCAGGTGGTGGTGGTGATGGTGGTGTGGGTTGGGGTGGTGATGGTGGTGGTGGTGGTTGCTGTTGTTGTAGTGGTGGTGGTTGTTGTGGTGGTGGTGGTGGGTCGGGCGGTCTCTCCGGCCACGCTGGCGTCTTATTGGAGGGCTGCGGGGGGAGGAAGAGCAGCAAACGTTAGCCACAGGAGCATCGGTAGTACTAGCATGATGATGATGTTTTGATATATTTAAGCGTTTGTTTTTGTGTTAGCTCAGGCTGGTTTAAGACCAATGCAGGACTGATGGATTATTTATTTTCTTTATCAATTAATCTAACAATTATTTTTTGATGAATCAGTTAAAGGTGGGGTAGGTAAGTTTGAGAAACCGGCTCGAGATACACTTTTTGTTATATTCCATGGAATGCTCTTAACATCCCGATGGCAATGAATATCTTAAGTGCTTTGACAAAAAATCCATACAAAAATGTCATCTGTGGAAGCCGTAGTACTGTAAAAAGCACCACCAATCATTTTAGCCGGCCCGGCTAAAGTAACTGGATGGCCTACCTGCCTGTCAGCCTTCCATCTGTGCACAAACTTATCTCGTGCCCTCATTGGTCATGTGCGCGTTCGTGTGTGTTGGAGGAGGGGCTCTGTAAGGAAGTGGCAGATTTTTTCCGGCTGTGTATTTTCAAATTCTAGCGCACTCGAGCCGGTTTCTCAAATTACCTACCCCACCTTTAATCATGTGTGCTATAAAACGGCAGACAATTGTGGGATACCTGTGAGCCCAATCATTAAATATCGTTTTTTGTGCAACCAATATTCCACAATCCAAATATATTCAAAAAAATGATTTGAAAACATTACCTCCTGTGGACCGGTCCTTTTAACACAACTATTGCTTTTGATTAAACTAAATAAACAGCCATTTCTACAACTGATTATTTCTTCTATATGTCAATTATTTCAATAAACAGAAAAGCTACATATATAAACAAATACACTATGGATCTTGTCATTACTTTTGACCTTTTACTAGCTTCAAATAATTAATAAAGATAATGGCAATATGTTTCTGTGTCACACACACACACACACATTTACCTTCGTCTGTTGCGGACAGGCGTGTGGCATCTCTCTGGCATGTAGTGGGGGTGTGGTCTGCGGCTGGGGGGAAGCTCCCAGGGACGAATGGGGGAGGAAGGAGTGGAGGGAGGGGCGGAGTTTAGATCCAACATGGTCTGCTGGGAGAGACGCTGCCTCTTCGGGCTTGGGCTGTCTTCCATCTGCACAAAGAGTTAAATGAGGGGGGGGTTAGGGCGATGGTTGGTCAGGAAAATAAAGAGAAGGACTAAAAAGGAAAGAATGAATAATGAAAGAATGGATAATAAAAGCAAACAATGACAAACAAATCCTATTCAAACCAGGAGCAAAGCAGAGCCGTGCTCATGTTTCAGACTTACTTTATCCCGATCCTCACTGCACACATTATCTGGATGAAAATGAAGCAATCCTCCTGCAGGCCACAAACGGGGGGAAAAGGATTAGATAAGATAGGGCGGAGGATAATATCCACATCACAAGAAACATGGACATACGCTTGCTAACCCAACAGAAACATAACAACAACACTGGTTGCCTTTTATTGTGTACCCACTGCATCCTTATGAAGCCTGGCTGGTGTCTCAACAGTTTTACAACACTTCAAAATCAACAAGTGATAGCAAAGAAAGTAAATTCCACCCTTTGGCTTGACTAACAAGATTTACAGATCTCCTTCCTCAGCAAGGGTCTCTCTTCTAAACCAGCTTTTGAATGTCCTGCTTTCAACAAGCAGACAAAGGATGAATCCTTCCCTGGAAGACACAACACTGAGCAAATTGTTCCCTCTGATCTAAAGGAGAGTCGGAGCAGACTCACAGAAACAGAGCAGAGCATCTGATGCATGCACACCACAGCAAATGCCTGGTATTGGTTCACATATTTGGCAATCAACCTGTTTCTGATTCTGATGTTGTTGGTTTGTCACTGTTTGAATGCATGTAATGACTTTCGTCTCCAGTTATCAGATTACCTTCACCGTCACTTTTTTCTAAGTTACTGTTAAGGAAAATAGTTAATCCACAATAGTTAAGTCATTTGTAAAGCAATAACTGAATCTGTTGGATTGTTTCAGCTTTCAAATGTGAATATTGTTGCATTATTCTCTTATATACACTAGTGCTGTAGCGACGCGTCGACTTCAAAATATCGTCGACGACATATTTCCGCGTTGACTCGTCGCTACACACACGTGGGTCACCCAAAGCAACAAGCAGTTCGCAATCGCACTTCAAACACAATGGAGACTGAAACGGCTACCACCTCCTCCTCACAGGATTGCGCACGAAGCCCCCAAACGAAAACATCTCGCCCTAGGTCTTCAAAAGCATGGGAATATTTTAAAGTTAGTCCAAAACGCAAAGATATTTATATATTTATATCTCACTGAGACTGCTGCATAGCCTAGCAGAAGCAGCAGCTAGCTGTGGTGGCTACCATTAGCAGCTAGCATTTGCTCTCCGATTTTACATAAAATGGAATTATGGATTATAATGCAATCATTTTTTTATACATAGACGTTAAAAACCTATGGATTAACCGATTCAGCCGCGTTTTTTCTCATTTTATTGCCATTGAACACGTCTTTTGATCAGATTACGGTGGTGAGACGATCTCCCGAGAAACTCTGTGAAGGTACGTGTTGTGATGACTGTATTTGCTTCCCCTGTCGCGAGTCCGGATCACTCAGTGATGATACTATATACATCTACATAATCTGTGGAGTCTCAGCTTTAATCGGATATATTGTATGTGCAGCTACGATAAGTAATAAGGGTACTTTTATCTTGAGTTCTGTGCCAATGTCCGTTAGCATTTTTCGCTCAGGGGTCATTTAGATGCTTCTTATGAGACTTGTGTTTTGTTTTGGTAAACATGGTTTGTATCGTCAATTAGCTGAGATTATTACCGTTAATCTGGTATAACATATTAATAGGTTCTTAAATATTAAGATCCCCTAAGACACAGTATCGTGAAAAAAAAATTGTTTACATTACGTTTTTTTTACATTACGTTTTTTATGAATTGAACAACAGAAAAATAATCGTTAGATTAGTCGACTAATCGATCAAATAATCGCCCGATTAATCGTTTTCAAAATAATCGTTTCCCCCCAGCACTAATATACACCCTTATACATTGAATATCATTTGGGTTTTGAAGTGTTGGTTGATAACACCAGATATTTGAAGAGCACCTTGTGATCTGAGAATTTGTGAAATGCTTTATTTCTACAGGTTTCCGACATTCACTTGATAGATTCATAAAAAAATAATCAAAAAGTTGATTGATAATGAAATATTTTCATTAACTGGAGTGACTGTAGAGCACTCCCTTTGGAAACAAACCATCATTAGAAAGACCAATTTCAAGTATTTGTGTTGACATGCATTTGTGTCCGTAATTGAGAGAGTGAACAATTATTAGCTCAGCAAAAACATCTCAGTACCATCATTCTGTTTCCTGTTTTTAGTGGACAAGAGATACAGATCTCTAAAAAGAGCAACAGAACAGACTCTTCAATGACAGGAGATTATTCTGTGTAAAAAGAACTAATGCGATAGACACAATCTCAGAAAAACACAATGCTCTCCCAGCTGTTTATCTGACAGACCACATGTGCAATCTGGATGCAGCAAGTGCTCACAGACATTTCAGCAGCTTAAGAAGGATGTCCTTGAACTCGGCTGGCGAGAGTTTCCTCTAAGCAGTCCCCCAAAAACCTTTAATCACAAAAAGAGGGGAGGGGAAAAAACTCTCTTCCACTCATCCCTTTATATGTATTCTTCTATGCCTCCCTCATACAAACAGCCCTTACTGTCTACCCAGAAGAAAAGCAGATCTAAAGGCTACCCCCCCCACCCCTTTCTTGTCTTTGCGACACCACTCCAGTGCCATGTGAAGCCTGCAGATAGTGACAGCTCAAAGTCGCCCTGCTAGTGGCTGTGGAGAAAAGCAGTGAGTTAACCGACTAGCTGACAGTAGGGCCAACACGCTGGCTTACATCTTTATTTATCCACCTTGCCTCTTTCTACAGACCTCATACCGTTCTGAGCCTCAGCCAGAAAACTAGGTCTGTTAATGCTGATACACCCCGGGGGCGATAGGAGAGGGTGAGCCAGACTGGACGGGTGCTGTTGGCGAGCAGATACAACCTTGTTTCCTCCGAGCACGGCTGCTGGGGAAGACTGACACCAATTATTTTACGATTGACAAGCAAGGCAGAAAGCCGGATGGTGAACTTAAGAGCATCAGCTGGAATCAAGTCGTACATTTTGCTCACGTTCTTAAAACAAAGCCCTAAAGCAGTGTTTCAGAAAGACAAGACAAAAAAGAGAGAGTTATTGTGCACAGCACTGTTTTGCATTTTCACATACATATTATACACACACAGACTCAGAAGGGAGTGTGCAGCTGTAAAGAGGAAGGCAGACCACACAGCTGGGAGTTGTGCCGTTTAAGTCATTCACACAAACCCCTCTGTAGTCTCTCAATTTGGGAAGCATGTGTTTTTGTGAGTCCCCTCTGAGCCGGTTATTTTGGCAACAGTGCTAGCATTACGACAGAGACCCATTAAAAGCCAGCTTTCATTCATTCACAGCACTTATTTTGCTTTTCAGGGAATCCAATCTGGTATTACTGAAGGTTTCTCCAATTACTTTTCCAATACTCAGTGCTGGAAACCTGCTGAACACTAAACAGGCTGGTGTCAATTCAATAAAAGGAGGCAGGGGTGCAGCTTCTGAATTTCCCCACTAGCAGCTTCATTTGATTCTCATTTGTCTCCTTTTTTCCACAAAAGGTTTTAGGTTGATGTTTTATTGTCTTTTTATTGAGTTTGGGTTGGCAGAAGAACTTTTGACGTTGTATGCATTAAAAGCCTACTTAACAGTGTAAATGATACTGGGGAAATCAAATAAGATTTACTTCATAAAGTGAATGAACCAACATCATGCCAACACACTGGTTTTTTTTTGTTTTTTTTTCATTCCTCAGTTTCTTTGTGTTTGGAAACACCTTCTCTATCTTTACTCTATCCTGAAACATTAGATAAGAAACATGTTTGACTACTTTAGGACAATATAGAGCTTTGCACAGGCTTAAATTGAAGTTGAATGAAATAGAGGCTTATGGATGAAAGGGTCGATGGGGAAATACAAGGAAGCTTGTACTATGCCAGGCTGCATTGCAGCAGTAAGCAATCTCAAACCAAAAGATACAAATGCTAGATAAAGGCATTTCATTTTCAAACTATTTCAAGGCTCCAAACTGTTCTTTTAAATCAGACTCCTCTCATGCATATTGTAGGATGTGTGGAGTCTGAAGCAGAGTGTGTAGGATGTCTAAACCACCAGGCGAATTCAGGCCTCTGATCTGATGATGAAGTGAAAACATATCAAACTAGCCAGCAATATTACAGTTTGAACGCACTGAAAATATCAGATTTGTTTTAATTTCATTATTATAGAATATATCTCAACACATCGTTGTACTTCGAATAAAAGAGTATTATTTTATTGAGCTACTTAAATGATTGTCTAATGTTTCTCTCCTCATGCCTTGACTACATCCACAGGAGTAACATAATATGACCGGGCAGGGCCCTCAGCACCTGCCTGGACTAACAAAGGAAAATTCTGCAGTGTTAAATTCCTACTGATGGCGTGTAGAATTTGCACCATGCAATGACCTACACTACATACATTTATTTAAATGACATTTATATTCTAAAGTGCATTTTCTATTTTCGTCATGTTTAATGTAGTGTCTTCTATCCCTCCACTCATTCATTAAAAATACAATCATTCAACAGAACATTTATATTCTAAAGCGACTTTGGAAGAGGTTTAACTATGTGGATGCAACCCAAAAACCGCAGGTACTATGCAAGTACTTACACATGCAGAACTGCTTCCAGCGATGAATACTTGTAAGACAAAGTTAGTAGACATGGCTTGCCCTATTTACCCGAGTAAATGCTATTTAAACCTCTGAAGTAGAGACACCACCCGATATGACATATAGCTGGCCTTTCAAGCAACAGCTGGCCGTGAAAGCACCAAGCCTTTTAGTTAAATATCTCAAAGCCTGTTAAGCTGCTAGTGGTCTGCCTTCAACCCTCAGGGGGTGTATCCTGTGTGTGTAATGGTGCATCTAGCCCGGCTGCAGGCCCTGTTTTTACTGGAGCTCGCTTACCGGCTCCGGGGTGTCTGTGGGCTCCGTGTGCAGAGTGGCGTTGCGCCCCCGCGGACAGGTAGCTCCCCTGCGCGTGCTGCTGCTGCTGGCTCTCCGGATAGCTCCGACCACCGTGGTGCGGCGCCCAGCCGGGGTTGCTCTGCGGCGGGTAGTTCACCCCTACTCCGCTGGCGTTCATCATGCTCCCGTTTCCCACCGCGTTTCCACTGCCAACGTTACCGTTCATACCGAAATGATAGAAGCCAGACCGAGACCGCGAGCGAGTCCTCGGGGGGTCCATGGCTGGGGAGGGCGGCGCTGGATGGACGTGATGAAGCGGAGAGATGGACGTCCAGAGACGGGCAGGAGCCTCCCTCTTCACACCGCTCTACGCGTCTCTCTATCCGCCTAGTTACCTCTGATGACCACTGGCTACTGCGAGTGTTTTCTGAGGCATTTAAAGCTGTTGTTCGGGTCTAATGAGTGGAGATACCTGAAGGTTCAGGGAAGCACAGCCCTCATATGTCGCAGCAATCTGTGCGGGTCAACTGAAGGGAAACCGCTTATTTATTTATTACTATCGATTATAAATGTACACAAGTATAGAAAAATATTGTACTTATATTAGGATTCGGTATAACAAAGCAGTTATAAAAAATAGCATTGTCTCTAAGATAGTTATGTGGTTTTAGCAGAACACCAGCTGAACGAGTCTCAGGTTCTCTATGGTCTTTTCTCAGCAAAATACCCAAGAAAATAAAGTATGTTATGGCATTAGTCGCACGCAGTTGAGTCCTACACGAGTGAGCCCATTGCCGACACATATAATAACATGCAGCTGAAGTTAATATAGCTTGCCCTGTGCCTCCAAAAGCTTGTCAAGTTTAATACTTAAATCCCCCAACACAAGCAAAGATGGCTAGCAGACGTGCGCTAGCAAACTAAAGGAAACCAGCTGCCCCGATAGCTGGCAGCTAAACAAAGTTATTAGCATAGATTTGCACATAAATTCCAACTAAATTTCCACGGGTATCCTACGGTAAGCATTAACGTTACACCCCTTTGCGTTGGTTAACTATGCCTGCTCGTTCATTAGCATAATTTCGATTTTCCAGTTAGCCAAGGCTAACAGGAAGCGGGGTCTAGTGGGGAAAACAAATCCAACAGTGTCGACATTACAAGCTAGCTAACGTCGCATTGGGTCGCTGTTAGGATAGTCCGTGCACAATGCTAATAGCGGATTATCTCGGACCACATGAGAAAACAAATAGCTACCTTATCCGTCAAGTAGCGAGGACAATATTTGTCCAATTTAAATCCCCTCTCGCAGTCGCTATCGAGTGTTTTCTCTGGTCAGCGGGGAGTATGTGAAGATCAATCAATGGGAGTTTCACATCTCTGTCAAGGCCACACTAATCGATCACAGATTAACATGGCGCTCCACACAGGCCTGATCCACGAGGTGCTTGTCAGTAAATAACACAAACAAACAGGTGTGGAAACGTTCAAAGTCGCTCAACACCTGTAAGATAAAAATGTGTTTGATTATCAGCAGATAACGTCCATTTTAAGTAGCAGCTTGTTATCAAACTTGACTACTTTGGTCTGGCAAACCCAGGGCAGCTGCTCAGTTCATTAATAATTCAGCAGCTTCATACCAGAAATACTATAAGACAACGCTTTGAAAGCCACTGGCTTCATACGGCTTTTCAGGTAGACGATCTCTTCATATGTTGTTGCATACAAGCCTTCTCCGATGAAGCATATACAAATAAACCCCCATCGTTATGGCATCGTTATGCGTTATGGCACGTTATGGCTGTACATATCAGACGTCATTGATTGATTGATTGATTGAAAAGTTTATTAACAGCTTGTATATTGGGTACAGTACAGTACAGCTCAAAACATACAATTGTTAAGGGGATGCAGACCAGAGAAAGACTTTCGTCTTGTTTACATCAGGGTCCCCCATTTCCAATCATCATATCATTTAAGACATATTTGACATACAGATGGCTTATTTACAATTTACATACAGGTGGTTTTTTACATACAGATTGCTTATTTACAATTTTCATTTTAGATTTCGTTCTAATACATCCTAACCGGACATTTAAGACATACCAAGTCGACAGATAGACATTTAGTAACAGAGTCTAAAATGCAAGTATATACATAGATGGGGGGGGGGAAGCTGTCCATTGAACGACAGGTTGAGATTTGTACCATTACCGGGGCCAGTTTTGCAATGCTCTCCCCCGAAGGTGCTCTTTAAGAGAGGTTTTGAAGGTAAGTATAGTTTTCCTCACACAATAATCCTCTATTTTTTAAACAAATACTATGGAAATCCATATTTATTGTCCTGGTATTTTCCATATAACTATCACTCTTTATAAATACCAATCACAGTTGTATTCCTTTGACCTGATTTCAAATATTTTAATGACTGAAATGATATATCAAAAAAACTAGTATGATAACATATAAGCCCCTACCACATGATATGAGCAAAAGAAAGCAGGCATAGCATGTAAACATACATAAATTACAAAATACCGTGTGTTGAAATCTATCTTTACACAACATGTGGCCCAGCTAGTATAAAGAAGTAGCAGATGAACTTGCAAAACAAGGCTCAAGTAAAATATTACATTCATACTAGCTAAACTGAAGACAAGCACCTTTAATTTGTTTTATTTGACAATAAATACATGAAAGAAAATTACAATGTTTTTTTTTTCAGTTTCAGGAGTAACTCCTTGAGAAACATTTAAACAAAATATCAAAAGAATCCCACTTTATCTACGTCTGTGGCGTACTCTTTGTTTTGGAGAAAGAAGGTTTTCAGCACCAATATCTGTGTCAGCATGAGGATATACATCCCCCCGTTGTATCCCTCCTCTCTTCTTCCACCTCTCTGTCTCTCTGCTCTTCTTGCTCCTTCCTCCTTCCTCATCCCTCCTCTTTTTTTGTGGAGATGGTTTGGTCTGCTTGAGACTGTGGAGTGCAGCCCCGAAAGGGTTCACAGGGCAAACTTCTCGGTCAAAGTTCCTCCCAGATGTCACCAGTAGTCCTCCTTCTCGTCTGATTTGAGCCTCTCTCCTGAGCTTCTTCACCTCCCGTCTCTCCCTGCGCCTCTCTGGCCACTTCTTACTCCCGCTCGCCCGGCCACATGCCTCCTGCCTCCCCCCCCCCTGGACCGGCTGATTCTCCTCACTGCTTTTGCCTGTTGCTTCAGACGACGGCCTCTGGTCTGAGAGGGGCAGGGGTCCCGCGCTCAAAAGCCCTGAAAACAAGGCAATGACAAAGTTGAAGAACAAGTGAAAAGATGATGTTCTTTGCCTCCCAACAAATATATATTATTTTGTATAAATGATAGGTTAAATGTAATTCAAGAGGATTTGCTTACCAAGACAAACTCACAGCAAATTATGAATTGGCTCTTCAGCTCGTTGTGTTTGTTTAACAAAACGTACTCACTGCTCTCACTAAAGCTGCAGCAGAAATGGAACCAAATGGCAGCTAAACAGCCAGGAATTCAGTGTCTGATGTTTGTATAGCTAAAACATACACTTTCTAATACATCAGTCCTGCAGTCAATTCTATTTGTATCAAAGTTATCATAATGAAACGTAATCTGTTGATTCAACAGTATAATCAATTTGCATATATACATTTATATAAAGTTAAATGATCACAGATAAACATGTAAGGGATAATGTGCAGCGACGCACTAGATCTAGATCCCTCCGCTTCGTGTCGGGCTCCTGATCAGCCTGTTGGTGTTCTTTTCCCCATAATGACCAAGTCGCTGCACATTATCCCGCTTATTACACGGCCACATTCTCAACAAAGTAACGACATGACTCCCAATATTAATTGAAATGCTTTTATGGATTTAGAAAATGATTTTATTGATTTAAAAAATAGTCCGTTGTTACTGTTTGAACTAACGTAGCAACGGCAGGAAATGCTTCGATAGCGTTTTTGAGGAGCTTTTTGATTACAGATTTGAAAACATCGTTGCTTGCTTTAAAAGTAGCACAATTCATGATGTCAAACCTTGGGAAGTATCTAGATATCCCTGCCCTAATGCCAAAGTAACTGGCAACTGAATATGTGTCGCCGTTTGATGTCTATGTCTGGACCGCTGCGTAAAAAGGAGGGTTTCTGCCCCGTTACTTCTCCGCTGTTTTCTTGTCGCTCTTGTCTTGTCAGTTAGAAAAGCAAACTCCATGCAGTTTGCTTTTCGGCCAAACTGTATACAGTTAAATCGAAAGGACTTGTTTGTGCAGATGTGAGAGTCCTTAACAACGGTCAATAAATCCTTGACAGCGGTCTGTCTGTTCTGGATTAACAACGTGTCACATGTTCTGAATTGACCAATCAGAATCGAGTATTCAACTAAGCCATGTAATAAACACAATTATATGTGATTGTTGACATTATTGAATGTATAACAATTATTTTGTTACCTTTGGCTCTTTTCTGCTTCCTGGTATGAAGTTGGAGGACATCCTTCATGGTGTCATAGTGGCAAACATAGGGCAGGGAAGGGAAAGTCCCACTGATCATCCTCCTTTTAGCGCATTCCTGATTACAAAGAGTAGAGTAAATACAAGTACAGTAAAGTCCAAGACAAAAAACATACGAAAACAGAGAGAAAGAACAGAATGAACAGGAAGGCAGGGATACCATTTTAAAGCAGGCAAGAAGGAACGGATAGGTGGTAAAAGTAAGAACATTATTATTTGAATTGGCCACTCACATAGCCATAATGTCCCCTCATGGAGCAGTTGTAACAGAAAGCGGGGCATTTCTTATGTTTGAGGGTGTGAACTGTCCATGGCCTGACAGGAAGCTCTAACCGGATCTGGAAGAAAAGCAAATAAAAGAACATTGTTAAAAGTGGAAAAAAGACATTAGTTGATTTAACAATAAACACCCAAGCATTCAAGTCCTATAGTTTCAACAGCCTAATAAAAGCATGAAGATGATGGTCCTCCCTGTTTAAGTTATTTATCATTCTTATTTAAAGTAGTGTAATGCATCTTGTTTTAGTATAGAAGGCTAGATGAAGAAAAACATGCATTGAAGTATAAACTTCCACTCACTGTCAGGTGGTTTTGTCTCCATGTATCAGGGCAGACCTTGGGAAACCAAGAAAACAAGAGAGAAAATTACACTTTTGAGGAAGAATACAGAAAGATGCATTTTGCAGCCGAGGATCTGCAGAGGTCAAATAACACTTCGTAAAAGAGGCCCACACACACCTGAGGCTACAGATTATCAACACACGATAGGCAAATCCTTTCAAAGTTTCCTTCAACACAGAAACTCACCAACCAAGCCTTCTGCAGGTTTCAACAAGATACATTTAAGACATTTTCAAACCACATCGAATTACATTGAATACCCGTTTGTATTGCGACTCATTTCATCAATACACATTTCCCTTAATACAGGCATAAATTAAAATAAGTTCTAGCACATCAATTATTCCTATGTTTTCAGAAAATGTAATTAAGACTTCTAAGAACCGGTAGAGACCCTGACTAATACCTCATTCACACCAACGCAACTCCGGTTCAAGCTCCGTGCTAGAGCTTTTCAGGTTCAGAACCGGTTCTTCGGTTTAGCTCCGGCTCTTTTCACACCGCCCAGAGTCCGTCATCGTTTGCGTCATGACGTAACCGTTTGCGTGAATTAGGTATAACAGATTTACAGGAGCCAGACCGGTGGGCTAACGGACAAACTCACATCAGAGAGGTGACCCGACGTCCCACAGCGCTGGCAGTGTTGGTTCCACAGCGGGGGCCTTTCACAGCGCCTGAGGCCATGGGAAGGGAGTCCACAGCTGGGGCAGGGGCGGCCAGGACAGTCCCTCTGGGTGTGGCCCTGGATCCCACAAAGGATACAGGTGGGACATTTCTGCTGACACAAAGACAAAAATAAATATGGGTTTTAGGATCTTTTCAGTCAACAGGTGACCATGGAATTGCATCAACAAGTGCAATGTATGGCAGTTTATAAGAAAAAGAAACATTAAAGACTGGATGAACTAGTTGGTTTGAGCAGATATCATCAGAAACATACAGGGAAATATTAATTATATTAATATAAAACATCCATGATTTGATATGCATTTCTAAATTTGACAGCATCATTTGGTTGAAGGGCACAGCAATATTTTCAACATTTGAGCAGACCCTGCAGGGTAAGTGGTAGGATATCAGCTGAACTCCAACTCTTAACGACGGTATGAATGTTTATAATGCGTACATAAATAAAAAAGGGTGGAAGAGTGTGTTTCCTTACCCTGTGGTAGTAGCAGCTTTTGGCAAGGTGTCCCGTCCTGTTGCAGATGTTACAGGTCAGAGCACGACCAGCTCCAAAATATCGACTGGGCAGAGACTGACCCGCCCCACACTTGATAATGTGAGAGGACAAAAACATAACAGATCATGTTTAAAAAAGCAGTCTTGTAGGATCAAAATTCTGATTTCAAATGCAATATTACACCAGACAGGCAAACAGAAAAAATGTATGTCCTTCTTTCGCCACAGATTTCTATATTAACACTAAGAATGTATTCCTCAGAGATTATATTCACAGTTCATTAATTCTTAACAATTAATATAATTAAAACAGTGAAAAGTTGCATTTTAATATCCCAAGTTACCTTGTCTCTCTCTGACACAGCCCAGGTATCCTTCACTGATTTCACAGTGTGATCTATGAGCGAAAAATGAGCAAGAAGAACATCAACTTTTGTAGACCTAACTGTATTCCACAATTATTTATATTTAAATTCAAGCCGTTGCAAATGCTATTGAAATAGGACAATGGACAGCATCACAATATTAACACAGCGTGAGATCAAGTATCCTAACCTTCATCTCCAGAGTCATCCTGAGGGCTGTTGCAGTAGCTCAGGTTGAGATGGATGCTTGAGTCTCCCACCTGCTCCTCTCCTCCCAGCATCATCCACTCCTCGATGGGCTGATCACTGTCCTTCTCCTCCTCCTCCTCCTCCTCCTCTTCCTCCTCCAGTACATTTAAACTGGAAGCAGGACTCTGGTTTCTGGGCTTGAGGGTCCGTCCAGAGGTGATGTTGAAGAGGATGAGGGGGGGAGAGCTCTCCCTGCTGATCCGTGCAGCTTGTTTACGGCTACTGTGTTGTTTCTGGCGACTGAACTTCATCTGTTGTTCTCCATCTGAACTATTGGAGTCCTCAATAAAGAAAAAGTCGTCTTTGCTGTCTTTACCACCATTATCTCCATTTCCCTGGCTGTAGTCCATAGTGCAACAACCTCAAAACAGCAGCTGAACAGCACCACCCACGGGCGGCTCTCTGCACTGCTACAAACAGCGGTGGATAAAGGCTCATTTACCACTTCCTTTTCTTAAAAAACGAATTAGCACTTGGGATAGTCCAACTTAGTGGTTGTGTTTCTTTACTACTAAGACATGTAATGGTGATTTCAGATTGTAATCATTCTAAATACACCGACACGTGGGTTAACATCAGACTAACCGGCGCTTTGCTAAAGTGAGCTAACATTAGCTCTGTAGTAGCCCAGGCAGCTAATGTAGCTAAGTTAGCGTTCAGAACCAAGTGAAATAAAATCTATAATGGCACTTCAAATGGCGCTTACCGTTTCAATACCTAACACGTCACTTTCGAGTTCAAACAATTGAACATATGGATATTTCTCTCCATAAAAATGAAAGGGTTGTGACTTGCATTCTTGTTTACAATGTTTTGAAGCACTTTACCGGCGTTTCCGGAATGTAAAATATGGGACAACCAAAACTGCCTACAGCGTTAGAAAAAAAATGGAGATTGACAAGTTCCCTCGTATGTAATATGTAATTGTTGTCTCCATTTATCAGAAAGTACTTATTCATTTACGGAAATTATTATTTATAGACAAAACTGTTATATATCACTAAGTTGATGATGGCAGCTTGTTAAACAGTCGGCAAGCTATAATGTATTTGTCAGATATGTGGCGTGTTTCATACTTTACATGTAGGCTATGCCTTCTTCTTAGTTACAGTTGACCACTAACGCTAAATGTTTATTTTTTTACAGCAGTTTTAAGGTGAATCGATAACTGTTAGACTGGTGGACCAAAAGACAAACAAACTCAAACTACTGTTAAGTCCTGATCACGAGAACTGACTGTAGTTCATCACTACAAAAATCTAAAAGATAATGGAGCGCGTGCACCCTTGCGTGTGTACCCAATCAAAGGCTCGTGCAGCTTTCCACCGCTCAGGTGCTGAAGGCACAGAGTCCTTGCGCACCACAGACGAAAAACCACCGGAACAAACTTCTTATCTCAGATTTCTTTTCAAATGAGTGGGAAATGTCGTCCTCGAAAACAAATACACTTTAGTCCGAACAGCTTGTAGAAGTTAGGACTACAGTCAGTCTGTGATGGACGCGCGCTTTGGACAGGTGCCCCTCAACATTACGCACAGTGAGTAACCATTTTTTTACAATTTTAAGTTGCAATGCTGTGTAGCCATACCTTTTGATCGGTGTTCCTCCGAACCGTACCGGTGCTCAGGGCTCGGCGGGGTGAACCAGCTCGGCGGAGTGTTCATTAACGGCCGCCCGCTGCCGCACGCGGTGAGACAGCGGATCGTGGAGCTCGCTCTGCAGGGCGTGCGTCCCTGTGAGATCTCCCGCCGCCTGCGCGTCAGCCACGGCTGTGTCAGCAAAATACTGGCCAGGTAAATACTTTGTGGTCAATAATATAGCCTTTTCAACATTGTATTAGCTAATAGGCTATAAATAGTTATTTGTATTGAAGCAGATTGTGTGTGCCCTTAATGATGATAACCTATATTTATTTAACAATGCAATGTACACACCACTTAAATCTACATCATTTCGAAATGTTTCGTAATATGTTGAAACTGTATTTCATTTTTATTTGCATGCCTTATGTGTGCCTATCCTCACATTTTAATTAAATTCAATATGTATATGTTTTTCAATGATTTTTCATAAAGATGCATCTCAAGACTATCCATCTGTACTTTGAGCATACTGATTTCCTGTGCTTTATCTCACTTTATTTCAAATAGAAAAGTATAGACATATAAGTCACATCAGCGCCTGTATTTATGAAACTTTTTTCTCAGGCAAAATGTTTTCCCTGCTGACAGCTCATTATTGTGAGTTTAGGTACAATGAGACAGGCAGCATTAGACCAGGACTGATTGGAGGCTCTAAGCCCAAAGTGGCCACTCCCTGCGTTGTGCAAATGATCGTGCGTCTGAAACACACCAACCCTAGCATGTTCGCCTGGGAGATCCGAGACAAGCTGCTGCTGGAGCGAGTGTGCGACCATGACAGCGTGCCCAGCATCAGCTCCATCAACAGGTAACAGAAGACCTTATGTGTGCTTGACTACGCAGATCATCAGAACAAGTGTTGAGTGAAGTCCCTCTGTCTTTACAGGATCATCAGAAACAAAGTCAACTCGGAGTCTTGTGAAGTTGGTAAGTCATTTGTGTCTTAGTCATCTTTTTTCTCTTGGCCTAACTTGTGCATCTCTGATGTGTCCTGATGATGACCTCTGACCCTGCAGTGTCATCAGCTTCATCTGTTTCCACGGGAACCGCCTATTCCTCTGAGTCCACCTATTCCATCAGTGGGATTCTGGGAATCAGGAAGTGCAGCAAACACAAAGAAGGTAACAGCAGTGGTGTACAAGTACATTTACTTTTGAGGTATTTTCATTTTAGAGGAAAATGTTGTTCATTTTACTCAACTAACTTTTTATCATAACTTTTGTCTGATGTTATGTTGCAGATTTACAAAATAAAAATATTGAAGCTTTTTATTTTCTAAATTAACATAATGAACAGATTTAAAATGACTTGTAACCTGGTTACTTAAACTTTTAAGTATATTTTGATGGCAATATTTTTTCTTTTACTTGTTACAGAGTATTTCTATACTGTTCTTTTTTCTTCTTTTACTAAATAACAAGATCAGTGTAGGTTTCCTCTTCTAACTCTGGTGATACGTTTATTTCTTTTTGCTTAATAGGCCTCTTTCACATAAGATGTTACCATGCCACTGTAAAAGAAGCACAAGTGTAGATGGATGTTTTTGCAGAGCAGACACAGACATTGCTTCCAGACCACACAATGATGAGTAAAGCCGGTGTAAACATTACTCTGACTGAAACAACCTCCGCAGCAGGAGATCCACCCCCCTCCCCAGGCTTCTGTCCTCTCAGCCAGCAGGCTCTCTGCTCCCCCCCCCCCACCTCCACCTCTCATTACAAGCCCGCTTACTCCTCCACTCCTCCATCACTTCAACCATTAGAATAGGAGATGACATAGATATACATGCATACTAAGAGATAGGAACACAGACATGCATGTCATTTTTCAATTCACTAATTAGAACAAGTGACAATTGCATTGAAGATAAATTAAAGTGATCCTGGACAGAAACTGGTTTGTTTCCAAGGAGGTGACGCCCCCTGCGGCGTTTACCACAAGCAGCCACGATCCTGTAATGATGCCTGGGGATGGTCCGACCCCTGCCTCACGTTTTACCCCGGCCTGCCAGCTAACCGTAGTCCAGACCACTTAGGTGAGTTTGCATCAAAATATGATGACTTCTGTCTGATATGAGTTCAGTTTGAATGTGTTCTGTCTTCTCTTTTAGGGCCTCCGTGTCCTTACAGCTGATCAGGGCAGCTCAGACGGAAGTCATTCCTCCACAAATAGGATGATTTCAAAACTGAATTTACTTAAAATGTAATTGTAAGATTACAAAATGAATGACAAGATAGAAACATCATTTACAAACATTTTGAAATAAATATGAAATGACTTCACGTGTTTTATTTACATTATTTAGAGTCAAATGACATATGCTGTTGTTTCAGAGGCTTCATCAGTCCAACATATTATCCCCCTTCTCTGTCACCCCTGTGGCCATTTTCTCCTCAGTGAGTGGTTGAGGGGGGCATCATTAGGGGCCCCATGATGGAGAAGGCTGAATCTTTTCTCTCCTTAGTGAGCGTCTCCCTGGCCTCCTCGCCAGCATGAGGGATTTAGGGAGGAGGTGGGAGATGCCACAGGCAGCAGCGGGGTCAAAGCACACCGCTGAGAAAGAAATCTGTGGCCAACATGGGCATCAGTCTGAAGGAAGCATCTAGAGAGCAGATGCATGGCGGGGGCACATTGTTTTTACTGTGTTTATATACATACTGGATATATTCAGCAAACCTACTATTTATTACATTCAAAGCACGGCTTTGGTTGACGTTGCAATGGTTTGAATCATGTAAGGATCAAAATTCAAGTTTACCTTAGAGGATTCAAGGTTTCAAATGAGAGTAATCAGAATGTTCAAGAAACTATTAGTGAGGTCCAATTCAAAAAATATTTTCATTTTTAAATCATAAAAAGTAATACAATGATAACATGTAGAACATTTTGTAAGTATTAACACATTTTTCAAAACACAATATTAAATGGATCTGAAATGGATGAAGAGGGGAACTGACAGTAAAACAGGGTACAGCCTTTGTGGCTTGTTTTTTTTTATCTGTATTGTTTTTTTAAATTCTGATTGAATTGTTCTTATTTTTGTTTTTTTATTTGGTTGAGTGTGGTCTTTCTGGGTAGAAGAGTTAGAATAGTTAGGTTTAACATTAGTGATTTGAATGTTACAATGTTAAAAATAAATCTGATCGACCATTAATCTAATCTACAACTACTAGGGTAGTGTTTTATGTTCAAACTTCTTAAAGTAAAGTCAAACACCTTTTACCCCTGAAGCCCATAATCCCTTGCTATTTACTCGAGGGCCTTTACAGTCCATTAACACCTGTAGTGGAGAATTGCATCATTAGGGGGCAGTAGTTATCAGTGCTTTGCTTGGTTATAGGAAATAATAATATCAGAAAGTTTGCACAGAGCTGACACTGGCTTAAACTAATTAAAAGAAAACAAGTTCCCCTGATTCACTTTGATCTAAAACACCACTTGACTGGCTGCTCACCACCTCCAACAGTCTCACAGTAATGAGCTGTTTTGAGGCATCAGTTTTCCTGCAGCCAACTCTCTGGTGGACTTTATGAGACAAGCTGCGGTTGCTAAGTGAACAGTGACACAAGTGTGAAGGAGGGGTTATTTTTGGTCTAGACAACAAAACACAGAGGGTACGAAAGACTTCAGGCTCTGTTCTGTGATATGAGCTAGGCCTGTGGAAGTCTACGTTTAATTACCATGTGTACAGTATATGCATAGGCATTCAAAAGTTGATATCATGTTCTTTTCATTTTCTTTCACATGGCTTCAGAAGATGCTTGAATCCTTAACGAATTAGTCCTGAGAGGGAGACATACATATATGGTTGGCACACGGAGACTTTCAGCATCATTTTATTTAATGAGAAAATATTCGTCGTACTGAGTCATTCCTCCACACAGGAGTTATTTACTGAATGCTGTTACAGGAAGAGGAGGGATGTCAATGTGTTCACTCAGTGTTGGTATGTTGGTGTTGTAGGTGCAGCAGCTTAAAAGGCATGAAAACCACATCTTGAATTGATTAACAGCATTTAGCTTTACTCACCTCAGGCCATCACCTTTCAAAAAACGGAAATGATGGCCTTAGACAGCGAGCTATTTATTTGAAAATTGGATAATGTATAAAATATGAACTTACCAAAATGAACAGCAACTAAAGCTGTCTAATATCAGTTAAATAACAAAAAGCATTTGACACAGATGACATTAAGTTTGAAATGATTTATAAGTCTTTTTGATCATTTTTATGACAAACATTAGAAAGAAGAAATGGCTTTTAAATCTTTTATTCATGTATAAAAGTGAATAAATGTTGACACAATCTAACAAAAGCAGCATGTTGAGGTTGAGTGTGGTACAGCAGTGCGTCAGCGAGCCGGCAGTTATTTTCACCGTCACACCCTGTTGGCACACACGGGACAAACCTGCTCAGTGACTCCTGGACGACCCACAGCAGGAACCATGAGCAGCCGCTCTCTATCCCCCATCAGCCATCTCAGCCACCTGAGGGCCTCCGGTGGCAGCAAGGGTGATGATGTTTGGCACTCGGCATCACCATCACTCAGAGGTTCTGAAGAGTTGAAAGACCACCACTCTCTTCCTGACATGATTCTCATCTGCAGGAATCAGAAGCAAGCAGCAGAGGGCCTCTTCTGCTCACAGGTGAGTTCAAGTAAAGGGGCTTCTACTGCTGCTGAGATTATATTTATTGTTAGATATTGTAGCTGGTGATGCAACAAATACACTTTTTTATTTTGACCTTTATTTAACCAGGATAGGTCTCATTGAGATTAAAAATGCTTTCTCAAGAGAGTCCTTTTTAATACTGATGTTAGTTTCATTGCATGCCAACAGTAGTTTTGCATTAGTACTAGTAGATGTGACTTGAACTATGTGACTTGGGATAAAATCATATCAAAGAAAGTAGGCAGTCTATAACCAATAACAAAATCACAATATACGAGTTATATTACAATTCATATTTATTTTACAATTGGACAACAGATCACTTATTGTGTATGAGGTACACAGTAAGAGAAGTCTTTTTTTCTTTTGCTATAAATAGGTTGGAGCACAGAGAAGGAGCCGACAGATGGGGAACATGCTGACAACTATCTGTGTGCTACTTGCCTTCCTGGCTTTCACATTCCTCAGTAAGTGACATAAAGGTTGATCCTGCATGTGCTGAATGAATGAAGTGCACAGCCAAATGTCCTAATACTGTACTGTTTGTGAAGGGGATCTTTTATTAGATATATTAATTATTAATGCAACTGTTATATCCACATTTTCTCTCCCTTGCAGTGTCATATTTCTACTTGTTTGTCTCTTTCTTTCTCAAGTGGGATCAGTGGGCCGAGAAGACAACAATACACAAGACTATGTAAGCCTACATTAACCCCATCCCTCTGTAAAACATCCACAACTTCCTGATACGAGACAAAAAGACTCTCTCTTGCTGTCTTTTAGGATGCTGATGTCTTCCTCCCGTCCAAAGCTCTGTGGCTGTTCGGCTGTCTGCTGTTCTGGACTCTTTGGTTACTCCTCCGTCTCCTCCAGATGTTCCTCTTGTTGATCAAAGGCCTGCTGTGGTTCATCTCTGTTACTGCGTCCCCGCTGTGTCGCTGCGCCTCCTTCCTCCTGTCCTGCGTTCTGCTGCTGCTGCATTATACATGTGAAGCTGTGTTTTATGCAACCACCAGTCCTGTGTATGTGTATGGCATGCTTCTCAGTGTTGCCATTTCGCTGTACTTTTTCACCAGGTGAAAGCTGAAATCAATGTTTTAAAATCTGAAGTAGATCATCTTTATACAGCATACATATGTAATTTATATACTATCATATGCATACTTTTTTTTTTTTTATTCTAAAATGTCTAACCTTTTAGAATGAGTATTCCTGTGGTTCATGTCCCTTGTAGTTATATATGTAGACTTTTTGCTGTTTATTATTTTTATTTTATTCCACTTTGTTTTATTATATTTATAAATGTATAAAGATTTTAAAGATTGTAATGCCTGCACACACTGCTGCTACTGTAACTAAATCATTTACCAATTTGGGATCAATAGATGACCTATCGATCTATCTATCTATCTATCTATCTCTCTATCTATCGAATAGATAGCATGTGGTTGCTAATGTTAGCAAACAAAGGTTTTGCTGAGTCAAACAAACAGTGAGTCAGTTTGATAACTTGATGGCTCCTCTCTCCTTGGACTAGCCTTACACAACTTCAATAGGTTTAAGCAATTCAAATAATCGTCACTTGTGACCACAGTGGCATCTATTCAGAAAAAGCTACATTTGGAGACAGATAAATTAATAATGTAGGCTATATCAGTATATTAGGTAATACTTTACATATAAGAATATTCTTAATTATTTTACGTATTTACAAGATATATGCAATAACCTTTTTACCGCACAACTTCACCACTATTAAATCTTCCTCAAGCCCTCTGGATGCTTTACCAACGTCCATGCTAAAAGAAGTTTTTTCATGTGTCGCTCCACCCCTGCTCCACATTATAAACATCTCCATTGTCTCTGGCTCCGTCCCATCATTTTTTAAGCAGGCGGTTGTTCAGCCCCTTCTCAAAAAAAACAATCTAGATCCCTCCCTCCCAAATAATTACAGGCCCATCTCAAAGCTCCCATTTGTGTCAAAAGTTTTAGAAAAAGTTGTTGCTAATCAACTCAATACATTTCTGAATGACAATAAAATCCATGACAAATTCCAATCAGGTTTCAGAAAACACCACTCCACAGAATCAGCTCTCCTCAGGGTCTCCAATGACCTCATGATGGCATCGGATGCAGGCGATTGCGTGGTTCTGGTGTTGTTGGATCTGAGTGCAGCGTTTGACACAGTGGACCACGCCATCATGCTAGATAGACTCAGGGAGTGGGTAGGCATCTCAGGGTCTGCCCTCCAGTGGTTTGCCTCGTACCTCAGTGGGAGAAGTTTCTCTGTGGCGGTGGGCCCGTTCTCATCACATAGCACTCCCCTATCCTGCGGCCTGCCCCAGGGTTCTGTTTTAGCCCCCCTTCTTTTTGCCCTGTACATGCTGCCATTGGGCCACTTAATTAGCCAATTTGAAGGTGTCTCGTATCACTGTTACGCAGATGATATCCAGATATACTTCTCCTTCAAACCTGTCAAAATGGAAAAAGTAAACACCCTCATCACATGTCTGTCTGCAATTGAGGAGTGGATGTCAAGCAACTTCCTACAGCTTAATGCATCAAAAACGGAAGTCTTGATCTTGGCGGCTGATAACATCGCCTCTAAGGTAGCAAGCCACCTGGGTTCATTCAGTGGTAACATAAGGGCAAACATAAAAAACCTTGGTGTTACCTTCGATCAGTCTATGCTACTAGACAAACACATAAAACTTCTGACCCGTACCTGTTTTTTCCATCTCAGGAACATTGCCAAGCTCAGGGGGGTTCTATCCAACGCAGAAATGGAGATGGCTATCCATGCCTTTATTTCATCCCGGCTTGATTATTGTAATGCTCTGTTCTCCTGCCTCAACAAAACATCAATACACCGGTTACAACAGGTCCAAAATGCTGCAGCCAGATTACTGACTCGGTCCAAAAAAACATGCCACATCACTCCGATTCTTTCTGCCCTGCACTGGCTCCCGGTCCATCTCAGAACCCAATTCAAAGTACTGGTCTTCACATATAGAGCTGTCCATGGCCAAGCCCCAGCCTACATCAATGCCTCCTAAGGGTGCCCAGGCTAAAGACTAAGGGTGACCGTGCCTTTGAGGTGGTGGCCCCAAGGCTTTGGAACAAACTCCCCCAGATAATAAAAACCTCGGCCTCAATAGAGATTTGTAAGCGGCAGTTAAAGACACACCTGTTCCGACAAGCCTTTGGGTCGTCGGAGGAGGTGAGTTAGTGGCTGTATTTTTTATTGGTGTTTTGTCGTATGTTTTATCCTATGTATTACCTGCTGCTGTTTTATGCCTTTTATTCTACATTTTATAGTTGTACTTTGAATTGTGTCCTGTGTACTGTACTGTAAAGCACTTTGTACATCCCTGTTGAGAAGGGTGCTATATAAATAAAGTTTTACTTACTTACTTACTTCTGATCTAATGCACTTTAGATGTGTGTGTTTTTTTTATTCATGTGACTTAATGTAAATACACACTATTTATGAATACATAAATACGTTAAAACATCAACAATAATAATAGAAAGTAAGCAATATGCATCTAATTGTCTGCTCTGTTTCTGACGGAAACAAAGACACCTCGTACATTTCAAAACTATAACAAAGGGTATTTAATATCACATTTTTAGAAAATGTCCAAGAATGCATCACGCTGACATTGAGCCTCCTATCTGCACCATGTTTTAAATGGAAATCCTTAATCTGGCTTGCACATTAACACTGATTTTTAGTTCCGCCTCGGTTCAAAGTACAAAAGTGAATATATAATTGGGATAGTTTCTACATCTACTTCCTTCTTCATAAATCACTGCAGTGTTTCCTTCTTTTCAGAGTCAAATCAGGACAAAGATTGAAGGCAATGAAGATCTTATCAGTGCAGGTTTATAGACCAATAACAGTCTGAGATATACTGAATACTCATCGTGAATCCATCACTGCTTTGAGAGCTGCACGAGGAAACAACAAGGACCTTTATCAGGACCCAACTGAGCTGTTTATTCAACACTGATGACAAACAGAGGTACAGTGAGCCCAACCTGAAGAAAACCAGGCCAGGATAAGCAAACAGATTTCTCTGGACGATGTCTAACAGAGTCGTCCACAAGAGGAGGGCGACCATCACAGATCTGCCTCTCTACTACTCCGGACACCTGAGGAAGAAACTCACCGAAGAGAAGGTGAGAGCGAGGGGGGGGGATTCAGGCAGGCAAATGTGTGTGTGAGAAGAGAGGACTAATAAATGATAATGTTTTACACCTGCGTTACATTTTGCTGCCGCGTATTCAAAACGCTGTTTTTTTATTTTCAGGATTTCAAGAAATACTACGGAGAGCTCCGAGGAGCCACTCTGTTTCTGTACAAAGATGACACTCAGGATACAGTAAGCAAAATGTAGATTTGACAAGTGGAAGCAGAATCGTGATGTACATAACCACAAGTAAATAAACAGTAGTTCATAAAACTGTGAATTTAACAATTATTAGAGAATAGATTGTTAAGCTTTACAATCAAATTCAAAGAAGGAGACACAGAGGCCAGGGTGCAAACATTCGTTTTTCTTATATTCACATCATAACTCACCCCTAGATTAATTTATACATGTGTTGTTGATTATTATGTGTCTCACAACAAGTAATGTTTGTGTACTTTGTCAGTACACAGAGAAGCTGCACCTGGGACAGCTGAAGTCCATGCAGTTACATTCTCCGTATCAGAAGAAGACCCCAACCATCTTCACACTCACGCTGCAGACAGAGGAGGTGCAACTACAGGTGGGATTTTGTTATCTCCTTGCAACTCAAAAACTCAATTGAATACATAAAAACATTTCAATTAACAAAGAGATATGGACTGTGACATATGACCAAAATGTCGGCTGTTTGTGTGACTGTACAGATGGACAACTCTGACACAGGAGAGGAGTGGAGAGGCTACATCCTGACTGTGGTTAAAGTAAGAAAGCATACAAACCTAAAGACACTCTGGTGGGTTTACATTCACAATTTGGCATCAATGAAGTATTTCTAATCTGATCTATTGGACATACATATTTAAAATATGAATACATATTAAGTAAATACTAGGAACACTCCCCCCTCAAGACTTATAGCGAGGGTAAGGATAAATAGAAGGAGGAAGCAATGTCAAAGTTATTGTTATTACAGATGATCTCTGTTTCTCTGCAGAAAGAGATTCCCAGTAAGCTGCAGCTGCTGCCTGGCCAGATGTTGCAGCTGCAGGATGCTCTGGATCAGGAGAGGCGAAGAAATCCCACCACGCAGCGGCCAGAACTTCCCCCCCCGCCCACTCTTCCTCTGCACACCCTCCCCCTTCCAATCCCCCCCAGCATCTGCCTCCCCCTCCTCCACACCGCCCAAAGACAAGACTGACAACAGCCCTGAGATTCCTGCGTAAGTTTCAGTCTTTCTCACAGACAGTTAGCAGTCCGTACGGGACACAACAGTGAGACTCAGACCAGTGAATACGTATTAAAGTTATTTAATAGACTTAGCCAAACGTTACCACTTCAGCAGCACCACACTTTATTTCCTATCTACATTTTGGAGTTTTTAACACAGGGGTATGTTTATGTACCATTTACTGTATAGTGTCATAAAAACAAGGCAAATTGTTTTTTTTAAATATATTTTTGGCTGTTGAAAGTATATTGTGATTAATGGAGTCATATAAAGAAATGTCCAAAAGTGAATCTTTGTGAAACTTTGACTGTGATAATTCAACATAAATAACAAGTATGTATGTATGTATGTATGTATGTATGTATGTATGTATGTATGTATGTATGTATGTATGTATGTAAATTAGCCCATATTTAATACCAAATTGTTTACCTAATTTGCATATTTACACATTGAATTTAGGAAAACTTGTATTACACATGTAAGGAATCATCTGGGGGAAGTTTGCCTGTTTAAACATTAAAATGTTGAACCTTTTTCACACGATATAAAACATATGCAACAGGGTTTGGTGCATTGTTGATGGCCCAGAGTAAATCCCTTCCTGTTACTGCTAATCTTAAACTGATAAACAACTTCTCATCCCTTGTCCTCTAATGGCTCACACGGGGGCCTTTGTAACCTTCACTGGTAATAAGGAAGTGTGTATGTTTTTTTCTTTGGCATCGGCAGGTGTTTTTTCCATGTGTCTCGAAAAGAGGCTGAGCACATGTTGAAGGTGAACCCCGAGTGTGGAAGCATCATCCTCCGCCCGTCCACCCTGGCCAACAACTACGCCCTGACCCTCAGACAACAGACGTCCAGGTCCGAAATGTACCTACAGGAATATGCAGGAATTTCCTCTATTCTATTCTCACAAAATGACTCAAATTATCACATTTTCTTTTCTCGACTTATGGAAAGCTTAAAAGAGAACATGAATCTTTGGTTTTATATTTCGTATAACAGTACTGTAGCACTTGTATTATGCTTGTGTGAGTCAAATGACATATGTACAGGAAGAGAAGTGTCTACCAGGAAATAATTACAACTCAACTTTACAACTTTGTAAAATAAGTCTTAATTACGTGTTTTTCTACACAACTAAATGTTACTAGAATCAACAGTGTCTTCTTAACAAAGACCCGCAATAGCATATGGATCTTTCTCACTACTTTTATGTTTTATGATCATATTGAGATGCTCCAGCTGATAAAAGGATGAATACATGTAAAAGTGGTTGTTGATTTTGTCATGTTCTCTGCGTAAGCCGGAAGGGAGGTCCTGTACGATGTCTGTTCGCAGAAACAGACCCTTTAGCATTATTATTTTTGTGATAAACTGTCTATAGCTGCTGACCTTTCACTCAGTGATCAGCAGCTGCGTCATTAACCAAAGGCATTTACAGCAATCAGCTCAAATCAAGCCTTTCATAATGCCTTTCAGGCCACATTTCAGCTTTTAAACGTACAACCATAGAAAGTTTGGTCTTGTTTTGAACCTGGATCATCTGCAGATTAATAATGCCATACCTGATTTGTTAAGCACAATATGAGATGAATGAATCCCTGTTTTTGTCATATTTGCAGCCAAATATACAAAGAATGTGTTGTTGTTTATTAAAGGCACCATTAAGCAAATGCTCCTCCACTTGCTGTCTTTCAGTGGACCCATCCTGAAGAACTTCAGAGTGACCTCCACAAACATGGGGTTTGTCATTGAACTGGACACAGCAGTAAGTACCAAACTTTGTAAAATTACATTTTTCTTTTTCGTGGCTTGTCTTCATGTGTCCTCTCCTCTGTAGGTGACAGTCTCCTCCTTGAATGATGTTCTGAAATACTTCCTTGAAAAGACAGAGTACCGGCTTCACCCCTTCATGGCATCTCAGCCCTACGACACTCGCATCGGTGAGTGGAACTCTGCTGTGAGAAGACTTCAGTGACATGTACACAACCCCTAACGGTGTTTATCTGTGTTCAACAGACATGTCTCCTGTCCCAAATATACTTAAAACAGTACCCAAAGCACAAGTGGCCCCTATGCTGCGTTCAGAGACCAAAGAAAAACTTCCGCCGCCTCCAACAAACCAAGATGACGGAGATTACGTGATGCCAGATGATCATGATCCCAACCTAAAGCCAGGTGAGAATGAATGAATATTGGTTTTAACATTTGTAATATAAAAGCACTTAAAGTGTACATATGACCAATAAATGCAGTCTAAATCCCACAACAGGTGAGCTGGTAGCACTATAGGAACGCCTTTGGCATACACTTCCACATTGACTGTATGATTAACTAATTATTGGAGTCAATTTTAAAAGTCATGTCACTCTGACCTCCCATCCGTCCCTTTCTTGTGAATGAGACATCTCAGGAACGGTTTGAATTTCTGTTGAATCCTGTTAGACTCAAGGATCAACTGCTTAGGCTTTTTTGGAAATCAGCTTATTTAGAAAGTTTCAAGTAAATGTCTTATAGGACAACATTATGAAGTGATGACTTCATCAGACATGGATGTAAACAAGACTGTTATTCCTGTTACTTTATATTTGTGATTTTCTTTTCTACGCTGTATATGGAAATGTTTTTTATAGCTTGAAAAGTGGTAAAACATTTTTTTTTTAATGTTTTCTATCTAACACAGTTCAGATGGATAGAGAGCTGGAGGCGGTTTTAAAGTTACGGAGAGAAAACCTGTACACTGAGACTGAGGAAGTCAACACGTACAAGAATCAGAGCAGTGAGAAACCTCCGTCAGCCGCTGTGCGGTGGAGCGGAAACAGTTCAACCATCTGAGCAATGAAGTCCGCTGGGCTCACAAACCTCATAAAAGGCTCATTTAATGTTTAACCTGTAACGTGGGAGAATGCACGCTCCTGCCACCTTTAGTCACTTTCAGAAATTGTACTGTACAAAATAAAAATGTTCTCAATCTCTTAACGCAGGGGTCTCAAACTCAAATGTTGGCACTAAACACGCAAGTACAACATTGGCCGATGGGAATTACATTAGTTTTGCTTTGGTCATAAGTAAAAGTGGTAATAGTAGTTTCTAAAACATGTGATTGCGCTATATAGAAACAGGGAAACAACATTATTACAACTTGTGCTTTGGAGTAGATGAACATACCAAATGTTTTTTATCATCTCTCCAGTATTGTAGAGATATTGCAATACAGACATGTTAAACTCATGGTTGTGTGAGTTATCCAAATGTCTGGATAACAAGTAAACAAATCATTCTAAACACATGTATTTTGAATCTGGACCTCGAGCCATTCGTTTGAGACCCCCGCCATTTCAATACAGTAGTTGGGTATATGCGAGAAAATAGCAAACAGATTTGTAAAGATAAGAATAGGAGTTCAAGGCTAACGATTCATTGTTATATTTATTATTAACAACTCAAATCAATCGATCAGTTACATGTGATACGGATGTTTTTTTGTCTCACAGTTTGGAAGGTTATCATGCTTTCTTTTTTGCTCATTAATTGTGTTTTAAAAGTGTAAAAATGAACATTACATCAAAATTGCGTGAGACAATAGGCTACTTGTACAGATCAGAACGATTGTACATTTTTGATATGAAAGAATGATCAAACTGTAAAATACAAAACTGCACATACCGGTGAATCTTACATTTCTTTCTTTTGTTCAAAAGCACAGAATTAAAAAAACATGATCCAGGATGATCATTATTCTTTATTTTTCCACACATAAGCCAACATAACTGTTTTGAATAATATAATCATATATTATTCCATTTAGATTGAGATTCTTATTTTTAATAATTATCATGGAACGTGTTATAGTTTAAAGTCTTAAAGGAATCATTCATCACTCAGTAAAGACAGCAAGACTGTGAAAAATATTCAATAACAAAAGAAAAGAAACTCCCTTTTGTCTCCTCCTTCACTGCAGTGTGTTTCAGAGAATCCACCTCTCCTCATTCATCTCACACTTCTCACACTATATCGTAGCAGCCATCAAATATCTGTAATAACTTAACACCTTAGGATTTAAAAGATAAAAACTGAATAAATAAAGAAGATTGTTCCCCAATGAAGAAACGCCTCCATTGTTGTTGTTGTTGTTGTTGTTGTTGTGACATTACTTCTCGGTGAGTGACAGCTGCAGGATCCTCTCCAGCTCAGTCTCCTCCTCCTTCTGCTTCCTGTGACACAAATAAGACACATATATACTTGTGGGTATACTTATGTGTCACTCCCATGTACTTTTACTAGTCAGCCTGCTAACGTTTTGCACATGTTTGACAATCTGCCTAAATTATATTTTATAAAATAGTTTTATTAAAATTCATTATTTTAAGCTGACGCAACTGCAATTATGTTCTGCTTGTATAATGACAATATGGCCACTGGGCAAACAATCTTTAAGAGATGACATGAGCAGCCCTACCAGCATTTGCCATGGTGGCCTAAACATTTTTATTTGGTCTTAAATTGTAGTTCAACATTTATTTCCTGTTACTTCTGGACCATGACGGTTGGCCAGCCTTTAATGTTTAACTGAGTGGAATAATGAATATGTTTTACCAAAATGTTGGCTATATTAAGGAGTTCTCAGGTTGTGACAGTGCACTGCAACATGTTGATGATCTTGTTTATTGGTATTTATTATTTTTGATATTATTTATTTAAATGTAGATATGAATGTATAATTTATTTTATTTGTTATTGTTTTTTCAGTTGATTACCCTGAACGTATAATTCAACAGTTTAAAAGTTCAAATTATTATTTGTATTTGTTTTAAAGTACAATAAATGGATCAATGAATAATCGCATTTAATAATCGCAATTACAATTATTGACCCAAATAATCGAGATTATGATTTTTGCCATAATCGAGCAGCCCTACCACTGGCTACACCGTAACCGTCAACATTTCGGTTGTTGCTGAGATCAGGATTCAGTAAATAGACACAAGAACAGAGAGTTGTAAACATTGGGTTTCAAGAGAAAAAGGAGTAGATATTGTAAAAGAACTCCCTGCAGATACAAGTCTCAGTTTAAAACTTAAAAAATAACTCTGGTCACAGATTAAAAGTGTGCTAAGGCAAAACTATCATGAATGTAGAAGCGTGGGGTCAAAATATCCATGAAGGTGTTTTTAAATGTTAAGTTTATAAAAAATCTAAAGTGTACTTTTTTCAAGCAGACAGTAATAAGTCAGTCAGCCAAGGCTGTGTTCACGTATGCCCGTCAAACAGCAATAACAAAAGGACTGTTCCCACTATACAACCTTGTCTTAACAATATGTGTTACTATTTTGCCATCTCTGTATTAATGTGCACAACATGGGACCGATGAAAAGAACAGATTTGGACACCCCGCTGAGTCGCAGACGCTGTTTGCCACCATATGCGCCAAGGTGGGAGTCTGAGATGGAAGAGCAGATTGCTGCACTCTCTATGTGGGCACACTCGTTTGTAGTTAGTTTTCAGAGTGGCTTTGATTCGTTTTAGTTGCTTTTCCGTTATGGTATTGTATAATGTCTCAAAGAATGAAAATACACATAGACAAAAAATATACTCATTGGACATCTGAACGAATTTGACATAATGTCTGTGCATATACAAGAGCAGACTGCATGTGAAATACAAGGAATGAACTGGGAAACAATTGTGGCACATGCTGATCTCCTGAAATGTCTGTTCAGTTTCTGTTATTCAACAGGCAGGTGACAGATATTCATGCTTACTCGTGTTTCAGTAGTGATTATAGCTTTAAAAACTTAAACAAATATTACATTTATGTTTATTTTAAATTGGTGTATATCTCTTCACCCTTCAGTAAAGGGAACTGAGAACTTCCACAACACCAATATGTGCGATATAAATACCATTACCATCATTACAAAACACTTTCTGCTATATAACATGTGCAATATTACTATTATTATTAGTAATAACGTTCGATAAATAACGTGCAATTACGTAAAAACGACCACTATGGTTTTTGAACTACTAAATGCTGTTAATATTTACATTAATTATGTGACCATGTATGTTTCCTGTAGTTATTGAATTGCTCTTTTTACTGCACTGTTGGTGTACAGTTTTATTATTATGCTGCTGTGTTTATTGTGTTTTTGTAACTCTGGCACAACAATTTCCTTCGAGATGAATAAAGTCCTATCATATCTGTTCTTATCGTATCTAAACACGGATATATTGTTGTAGTTTTTCTTAAAAGACATTGTTTGTATCTATTTGTTTTGCGAAGAAAAACCGCTTATTTGTGTTACCCCGGTCCACATACTGTACGTTAGTCCTGTGATGGACCGGTAAATGTCCAGCATGAAGGTGTGCTTTATCTCAGGTAATATAATGCACATGCCCTTCTCTTTGTTTTCCTCCTGCCTCACCTGTCTATCTCCTCCTGTTCCCGGCACGATATCTCCATGGCGAGGCGCAGCTGCTCGTCGAAGCTGGATGCCATGCCGAAGTGTCCAGACAGCCGTGGGTTGGTCACTGCGCTGTAGGAGAGGGGGGAGTCGGCGGGGGGGTCGGACGGGGAGACGGGGGCCGTCTGGCTGGGGTCCGCCATGTCCTCTCCTTCTCTGCTGGACAGTGAGATGGACAGAGACTCCTGGATCGCCCTGAGAAAAAAAATAAAGATTTAAAGACTTGAAGTGAAGTGTAATTAAACAAGGAACAAAGATATCTTAACAGGGAAGGTTCACTGCGGAGCTCCATTACAGTATGAATGGGAGGTACTGTTCCCAAGAGAAGGAGGAAGAACGAATTAATCACCGACCTCTATTTAGAGACGTTTAATTAAATGACTCCACCAGCAAGGGGTTTCCAATAATACGAAGGAATTATGAACAGACATGAGTTCAGTAACAAATACAAATGTTCCTATTTACACTTAAAGACCAAAGAAAGTAGATATCTGTACTGAGCTGATCAATTAAGTTACCTGTATTATAGCACAGACTCTGTTGAATAATTAACACCTATCCACATATTCACTGGGTATCAATCATTTGAAAAAAGTCTAAATATCTTTTCATTGTTTTTGTGCTTGAGGCACAAAAACGTAATCAATACATCATGGCTATATCAAATGATAGAGTTGAATTCTAAGTCAGCTCACCTCTCCAGCTGAGAGTCGCCTTCGTACAGCGGAGACGGGGGCACAGGGCGAGTGTTGGTCAGGGCCTCCCAGATGGTCACCTAAGAAGCACACTTAGATACTGAAAAACTGCCTTTAAATATAAAAAGTGAAGAATCAATCCCCCGTCACACACGTAACTCTGAGTCTGATCATTCTAACCTGGTCGCTCTCTGTGCCGGCGTCCAGCAGGCTCTGCTGGATGGCAAACTGCAGCAGGTTATCATCCTCGTCCCTCATTGGCTCGCTGCGGCCGGGACCAAGAGTAGCGTAGTCTGCGGGGGGCTCAAACACTGAGGGGTCCACCTCGCATTGGAAGGGAGGGGGAGCCTGACCTGGGGGATACAACATCACTACACGTGCAAGTAAAAATATGTCCAATTTATAAAAGTACTTTCAAGCCTGTGCTATGTTTTGGAAATTACTACAACCTTATTTCTTTAAGTCGTTTATTTGCAAAAAACGAAGAAAAAAAAGTCATCGTTTTTTTTAATGAGATCATAACTAGTGTGTATTTACCAGCTTCTTCAGGGTCCACCGGTGTGTGAAGCGTCACAGAGCTGACCGGCTCGTCGCAGCCACACAGGTTACTGAACGTCACTCTGGCATTCAACACGTGAAACAGGGGAATCTCTGGAGGACAGACAGAAATCGA